TCACCTCCGTTTAATTCCATCGTGAATTGAATTTTTTCATCAATCTCGTTTACAAACTTCAGAAACTCTTCCAGTTTTTCTCTTCCATGTGACTAAAGTGCGAAGTAATCATCCAGGTACCGCATGAGCACTGCCAGTTGTAGTGGTGCCACCCTGAAGCTCTCTTCTATTTTGTTCATGCATACGTTGGCCAAAAGTTGTGAGAGCAGAGATCTCATGCGAAGTTCAAATAATTGTTCATAGATGTTCCCGTTGAATGAAAATTATGTTGTCCTTATTCTCAAGTTGATTAGTCTTGTTAACGACTCCCTCCTTATCCATCGTGGTTTCAGGATATCCTCCTCAAGGTCCAGGATTTCCAGTAGGGCCTTTAGCGCATTTTCTCCAGAGATATTTGTATACATCGATTCCACATCGAAACTTACCAATAAGTCTGTTTCTTCCAGTGCCATGTTTTTTTGAGAAAATTCATATGAATGTTTTCAAATGTTTGATAGCCTCTCATTAACTTTATTGAGTTTATAACATATAAACTTTGCCTATTTGCGTGTTACTCCATACTTGCTGTTGACTATCAGCCTTAGTGCTTCGCCTTCTTTGTGTATCTTCGGTAATTCGTACGCTGTTGGTGGTCGTTTATCCTTTTATATGATTGAATTTCTTGTCCATGCCATAATTTCTTCGTCCCTTTGCATATATTTCAGCCTGTAACTTAAGATTTCATTGATCTTTATAGTTAGGTCCTTATTTAGTATACGATATGTGATTCTGTCCCGTAGAATATGTTCCATCTTCTCGGTATATTGTTTTTTGTCCATTATCACTGTAGCTCCTCCTTTTCTGTCTGAAATACTAATTGTTCATTCGTTTCCAGGGTTTTGCGTATCCTGGCAAATCTGTTTCTGCGTGTTGGCTTTTGATATTAGTGGAATTAGTTCCATCTACATTTCCCGTTTTGTCTATTAAGGGAACTTGTCGGCGATATTGATAATCTCTAAAAGGATGTCTCCCAGAGGGCTTTTGTTATGTTGAATTAAAAAATTGAGTCATTTTTCCAGCAATGCGGTTGTTTCGGTATTAAGAGGAATCGATGATAAGTTTACTACTTTCTTCCGATCACCGTACTGATCAGTAGACTTTGCCACATCGCAAGCCACTTCAATTGGGCGTACTGGCTTTAACTTAGGCTGTCTTATAATCTCAAACTTACGCAATTTCTCGTCATACTGTTTTGTTACTAAGTCAGAAATCCTACGTAATTTCCTGTCGGTCATGGAGTTTTTGAAAGTCTTCTGGAGACAAAATCCTGGCAAGATCACGCCTGAGCTTTGACCTACCATCTATAAACTTAAACAGCTTATTCCTCTCTGTAACATAAGTCTCACTTCGTTTCTGAATAGATGTCCGGTGGAGATAGTCATTAACCTTATCCAAGTGTTAGGGTCTCTTAAGGTCACAGAATTTAGGAGAGCTACTATAGCGTTTAATACAGTTTTAAAAAGTCAGATGGGAAGATTCACTTACAATTTTCTTCTTTTTATGGCTGTATTCAGTGCATTGTTTGGCAATTTTACTACCGTACTGCTTGCTTTGACTAGGTTTAATGTTGAACCATAACGTTTGTTGGTTGGTACACAAGAGACTAGGGCATGGGAAGTC